AATTTTTATTTCTTTCATGTTTATAAAGCAAGAGGAATGATCATGTATTTATAGAAAAAGATGTAACCATATTGACAAAACTATATATACATATTTCTCATTGGAGATATATTTATTTTTTTTAAAATAGCCATGCTGGCTGGAGCCACGGCGGTTTACTCCCAATTCATTACTCAGCTAACAGATGAGAACCAGTCGTGCTGCCCTGTCTGTCAGAGAGTTTTTCAGACAGAGACCGAATTACAAGAAGTTATCAGTGATTTGCAGTCGAAGCTGCGGCTTGCTCCAGATAAACTCAAGTCGACAGAATCAGACCTAAAGAAAAAGGAAAAACGACGTGATGAAATGCTGGGACTTGTGCCCATGAGGTGAGAGTAGGGACTTCCTGTACGTGTGGCAGAGCCCCGTGAAAGGTCCCCATCCAGGGCCTGGCATGTGACAGGTACTCGGTAAGGATGTGTCGAATGAAAAAAATTAAAGTCCAGATTTTGAGCCATTACGCCCTATTTCATTTATATGGTAAGAATCAATTATTTTGTTTAAAGGTAAGCTTATTTCTGTTTGTTTAATCATGGCGTGGATATAGTCTTTACGTTTTTGTGTGTTTAATGCCTGAGACTTGGCTTGAGGGCATAGATTTTGACAGATTTAGAAGTGTTTTTAATGTGGTACTTTGTAAACCCAGCAAAGGAATTTAAGTACTGAAAAGTTCTCCCAAAAGATAAATTTCAAACTATAGTTTTATGTCTTTTCCACTTTTAAGAAAGAAGGAATCATAGATTATTTCTGTTTAGATTTTCCCTTGCTTGTACAAGAAATTCATGTGATGGTCTGTTTATAAACAAAATTAAATCAGGAAATATGTGATGATTACCTTGGTGTCTCCCAAAACTGTAGAAAACAAAGCTGGTTACAGAGACCCTATCAATAAGACATCACTCTCAAGGAGCTAATGATCTAATTAAGGAGACAAGCTCTCAAAATCAGACATTTATAAAGCTGATCTTAATCAAATGCTTAAAAAATGTTTCAAACAAATGCATTAGTTAAGAAGAGAGAAGCTAGGGGATACAAAACGAGAAAAGTACTTTGAGAATGAGGCAGGAAGTAAAGCTCAGAGAAGGTGGTTCATCTCATTTGAGAGGAGAGGGACGTCAGAACAGCGTGTGCAAAGGGAGGAGGTGTGACCTGTGCTGCAGGGGCAATGTTACCTGGAGTTTGGGGAATTACTTGTAGGTGTTGATTCCCGTCAGTTGGGAATGTAAGGCTACATTATGTCCAGTTCTAGGTAAAGCTCTCTGATAGGTGATGAGCCAACCTAAGGGATTTAATGTTAGTAAGACTTGGTTTAGGAAAATTAATCTCATGTTGGTATATTGAAGGGATTAGGCTGAGAGAAACTCTGGAAGCAGAAAAACGAATAGAGTATATTGTCCTGGAAAACCAAGGAGGAGTTTCAGGAAAAGGAAAAGTCTAAGAAGGTGTGCTTTGTGGCAGCCAACTTCTGAGATGTCCCCAGTGATCTCTGCCTCCTGGTGTTCACACTCTCATGTAGTCTTCTCTCATGTTGTCTCAGGATTGGGCCATGTAACTGATAAAATAGGACAGCA